GCATTTACTATAGAGCTCATAGTGCTGAAGTGAGCTAGCCAGGGCTGGGGGATGTGATGTGATATGCTCACGAGTCTGAATGTGTATTTTTGCCCCAATTTGCTGAACAAGAATTGTCTAATAGCCAAAAATAATTGCAGCTTGGGCTTAATCAGATATTAAGAGATTTCCTTGTTACTTAGATGGGAGGTTTCCTAGAGATTTCGGTTTGGGGCTGGACTATTACTGGGCATAAAGCAAATTGTAAAATTTTAACATGTCTCTAAATGGCTTCACACATCTCATGTAAGAGTCATGTATGTTTGTGTTTATGGAGCTGAAACAGATTAACCAGTTATGATAGCTTTAACTGGATACTGTCCTAGTGTTTCTTAAACATTTTTATTAGGATCTGGCTAGCAGGCTTTGCCTATCTTGTGTTTTTTTAAGGGCTGCTGCTGTAACCCTTAAGCTGTTTTCAAGCATAGTCCTTCCAAAAGCTAACTACTTACTTCTGGTTTACATTTTGCCAATTAATTCTGAGTACGCTAATAAATGTTAGTTTTCTCCCTCTGTGTGTGCATGTGTGAAGCACTAATTCAACTGGGGAGGTTAAGGTTGTTATTTCTATGGCATGTGAAACGGCCTGGATGTTAAAGAGCGGCAGAGCGAGGCGTGTGCCTTACCTCCAGAGCAGGTAGCGGCAAAGAGCCTGGGTGAGACAAGCGGGAGAGAAAGCAAAGAGGGCGCCGGGAGCAGAACTGTAGGGAGCTCCTTGAGTGTCCAAGTCATGTGCTAATTTCCTATTTGTTCCTGCACATGAGGCTTCTTACTTTGATCTTAACCTATGAGATGATGCAAAGCATGGCCGTTAGAGGTGCACGAGCAGGAAAAGTTTTCCAAGCAGGAGAGCTGCTAGACGTGCCAGAGAGAATTGATCTCTCCTGGATTTGAGAGCGTCTCCATAGGTTTGTGGCCACATTTGTTAGCGGCGAAGAGCTGGGTGGTGGGGAGGGGCCTTGGCCTCTCCATAGTTTTCCAGCCATGTGGTACGTGGTGGCTGCAGTCCTGTGCATGCAGTCCTTGGTATTTCCAGATGCTGTTAATTTAGCCTCTGCTTCCCTGTAGTCCTTCACGCGTTTGTGCAGCCGAGCTCTCCAAGCTGGCGGGTTGCTGCACCGTGAGAGCATTGCAGATGTGTCGGGGATGCACTTGCTCCAAGCGGAGCAGGGAAGGGCGGCTCCGCCTGGCCAGCCCCGCCAAGGGGGCCCCGCAGGCATCGCCGGCAGCCCGGCCGAGCCTTGCACGCTCTCCGTAAAGGCAGAGCGATTTCTGTACGTTGGCTTGGCCAATTTGTTATGGTTTAAGGCTGCAGAGCCAGCTGTCTGCAATCTGATGTAATGTTGCCCTGGAAACCAGAAATGAAACACTTAAGCATTCACCACAGAATTACTACATACAGCATTAGCCAAAATAATTAAAAGTTGAGCCATGTGGGCTTTTGGGTGGAAAAATTTGGAGCGGAGGAGATGGAAGTTAAGTTGTTCCTATTTACAGTACGGCAAATCAGTTTTCCCCTTGGAGCCGCGGGGAGAGGCCTGCTCCGGTGGCGCACGGGGAGGTGGATGGGCTTTGGCTGTTCTACCGGTGCATTAGTGACACCGAGGCTTGGCCTAACGGGATAGCCATGTGCTGGAGGCCAGGAGGTGTTGCTGGGGGGGTGGGAAGGGGTGTTGCATGTCATCCTGTGCCGAGGAGCCTCCGGCCTAGCCTCTTGCAAACGCGTCGTTCCCTCTTTAACAGGCTGTGTTTACTCTTGCAGCGTTGCAGCATCCTGAAACGCATGTGAAAGGGGGAGAGGGTGAGGAGGGGCTGCAGCCAGCTGCGTCAGAGCCCCATGCCGAGGCCTGGCTGCTAGAGCTGTCCAGGAAGCCGTCCGCCCAGTCCACCCTGCGTTAGGGCGAGATTGGGGTGATTTTCCCATCTGAAGTCAGGGACAGCCACCAAAAAAAGCAATTCTGTCACCGTGGAAGCAGGGAGAGTAGAGTGGGTCGAGGAAGTCAGAGCGTCGAAGTTCAGTGATTTCCAAATATGTCGCTTACAGCCTGAATGCTTTACATTTCTGTTTTCTGTTTAATATTAGATGTAAAAGAAAACATTGCTTGAGCTGGAAAATTAAGCTTTGTTTCCCATGTGCCAAAATGGAAACTTTTTATAATTTCAGGGCCTTTTTTTAACAAACTGTTTCAAAACCAGGAAGCAAATTAAAAGTAACCCTTTTGCAAAACTATTTCATTTTTAAGAGATCAGCATTAGTTGACAAGAAACTTTCCTGAGTGGCACCACTGGTGTAGTCACTGACAGTTTTAGGCCTTTTTGCATAAACTTATTAGCCACCCTTTTCCTTTACAGAAGATTTCCCTTGCCACATGCTACCTGATGTGATAGGAAATAGGCTGCTGGAGAGGGACTGACTCTGTTTTCAATCAGCCTGTTATCCAGCGTCTGCCATTGTTGAGCACGAGCTGTTCTTGCCTCTCGGCTGAGTACTGGTGCTGGGAAGGGTCTGCCGCTGCCTGTGGAGGAGCCCGGCTCAAAGGGTGCTGGGAATCCTGAAGCAGCAGGGAAAACCAGCTGGCACTTGATTACAATGGGACTTCATTTATTTTGAAGTGAGGTGAGGACTCCCTGTACCACCCACTCAGATTTGGTGTCAGTACCTCGGGCTGAGGCTGTTTTGGCACTTGCCTTTGCGGTGGTAGTCGTGAATGCAGATGTCAGACGTTGTAAAAGCTCTTGTTGTCGTGTTGAGTCTTCATAGCCCTGAAGGAGACAGCTCTTTATTGGAAACCGGTGGTGCAAAAGTAAGGCTAGCTATTTATTCTTTGTTGAAATCGTGAGCACCAGGTATGAGCCATTCTCTGTGTCTTACAGAGCTCACGGCTTTACAAACAGTAGTCCTGCACACCAAGGGTGTACAAAAAGTAATGAAGGAAAGCAATGACTTAGAGTAACTGCATTTAAAATAAACATATCTCAAGTGCAGAATATGCGCGATGGTTGCTTGCCAGGATGCACTTAATGACCTAAGAAGTCTTGACTGAAATGCTTGATTACAGTCAATAATCCGTTTGTCATCTTATCTAAATACGTCTGTCTTGTTTTACATGTCACTAAGTTGTCCTAGCCATAATCTCTGAATTAATGCTCATCTTGCTGCTTAATTTATCTTGATATAAACAAGTCTGATACTCCTTTTTACAGCCCCCTTTTTTCCAAAGGAAGATTATTAATTACCTAGCCAGCCTGTATCCATAATAAACGCATTCCTGAAGCTCTCAGATGGCAGAATGGCAATTCCTACTGCCATATGTGATCCATTTGGTATTCCTTCTTGTTTTGGAGTAACATGAAGTTTGTGGGAAATGGGTAATTGACAGTGCCCTTGCAGAAAGTGGCTGAAGTTTGCTGTGGTGTGGTTCTGCTGGCCTTGTGAGGTGCGTGCCTGCGAGGTGGTCTTTCAGCGCTGCCCCAGCTCCTTCAGGCACTGTCTGTGCCTTTGAAAGTGTACCCGGGCAACTGCTAATTGGTGTCCTGCCCCATGGCACTTACCCTTACTACCACAGCCTGATATTTAAGTGCATTTGAAAAGCAGAAAGCATTTTTATATTCGGCCTGTCTTTTATCCAGTCTCTGGATAAGCAGCCAGCACTTTTGCTAGGGAAGAGGAGAGGATGCCTTTTTTTTTTTTTTTTTTAGCTTACATTTGTTGGGGATTAATTAAGGAGAAGGAGAAAAAAGGATGAGCGCGCGCTGTGGAAACCCAGATATCTGTGCCGACAGGAAGTTGCATGAGGCTTTTTAGAGCCGACCATTAGGAATGCGGTGAATGAATTGGCTGGGTCCGCGGGTGAAGAGAAAGTAAGGTATACGATCCATACCACGCTCCAGCTGGAGCCCGCGCTGCACACAGGAATGTGCAACAGCGCACAGTGCCAGGGCTGTCCTGGCCAAGCCGGAGAGCCCTGACAGCCTCCTCTCCTCTCTTCTCCCTTTCCCTTCCCCCCGCCGCCTTCCACATTCTGAACTGATTAAAACAGAGGAAGTAGCACGTTGAACATTGGATCTGGCTCGAAAATCGAAGTCGTCTTCTCGTTCACAAGGAATGGATTGTTTCAGCTTGTTGTGTCACTGCTGCTGGAGAGAGGGGAATTTTTTTTTGTCTCTGTAATGTTTGATACTTGAGGGAGAACAGCTGGAACTGAGCATACTGGATCAGATGCAAAACGAAACGGGATGCTGGGGAATATGGACTGCACTGTATATCTGAAAAGGTCAGAGTTTTCCCTTGGTCAGTGCTGGAGGAATGCTGTGTCCCTCTTAATCCCAGCCTTGAGCCTTCAGGAGGAGTGTAGGGAGCAGGGAGGAGAATCTTTTGTAGCTGTGGCAGTTCGTGAGCGAGGCAGATGAGGTCTCCTCCTTCCTTCTCCTTCCCGTCCCTTTCTTGTGCTGCTGTTTTTGATTTTCTGGGAAGACTGGAGGGGAAAAAAAGAGAAGTCATCAATGACAGAACTTCAGTTTGGAGAAGCTGTTAATAACTAGGTTCAAACAGCAAGTTCTGAGATGCCAGACAGACCAGTGACTGACCCAAACCACAGGAGAATAACTGGTATGGTAAGAAGAGCCCTGGGAAAGAGCCCTGCCTGAAACGTACCGAGAGAGGACGTGGAAATAGTTATTACACAATGCATGGGATTTTTTTAATGCATTTCAATGCCTAGGATCTTACGTTGCACAGATTTAGAAATCAAAATGGTATGTCACGCTTTCAGAAAAAGAAAAACTAAAAAAAAAAAAAACCCTCAGTAGTTTAAGTGTTTCTGTCTGACCTGAGCTGAAAATATAACACCAGTTACAGAGCTGCATTGACACGGCGCAGCAGATGAGCTGGGTTAACTTGACTTGAAGGAGCAAGCCGTGGAACCACTACTTCATTAATATTCCCTTTGTTTCTTTGCCAGTCAAGAGAACAATCTGATGATGAAACAGAGGAGTCGGTGAAGTTTAAGAGGTTGCACAAGCTGGTGAATTCTACTCGCAGAGTCAGGAAGAAACTCATCAGAGTGGAAGAAATGAAAAAACCCAGCACAGAAGGTAAAAAGCGACATGCATATGGTTACAACTGTGTATGTGAATACATGTTGCTGTTGAGAGGGAGGGGTGGGGTGTTCTTAAGGGATGGTGGGAAAGACTGCCTTGTCTACAGTGCATGCCTTACCCAAGTAATTGCATTTTGAGACTGTGGAAGGAGAAAAGTGACAGCCTAGGATGTGGTTACTGCTGATCTGGTATTCCCAGAGCAGCGCTGGAGAGCCCCTCATTAAGAGATTAGAACTTGGCTTATGTTTTATGCCCCATGCTGGGGAGAGAATGAGGGTAGGAGCAATCCCAGCCGGCTGCCCCACAGGCTCAGCAAGGAGGTAAGCAGAGCTGCTACCACGTTGCTCCCTCCTCCAAGGCCTGGGACAACACACAGGTGAAGCTCTCGCTAGTTTTGGGGGGGTAGCGGGTGGTCAGTGGCGCAGTTGTGCCACATGGCATCGTCCTGTGGCAGAAGTACAGAAACTATCAGACATTCTTGTGGGATAGCGACTGCCTCGTGTAATATTAACTCCTACTTCTGGGGGAGCCTGCTTGCAGTTTGGCTCCTGAATGAGCCCTGCTGCCAAGAGAGAGGGGGAGAGAAGGGAGGAGGGTGGGGAAACAGGAAGCAGAGTTCAGCCCCTGGGAATGCCATGCTGCAGAATTAACTCTGGATGACCTGTATCGATGTGTGAGCACCCAGATTAACAGAGCGTGGGCCTCAGGAGCCTCTCTGCACCACAGCCCTGCTTGAGTCCTCACTGGAATTGTGGGCACCCTTCTATGTTAGTGGGCTTCCCGGGATCCTATGCCGATTTTCCTTAGCTTTGCGGTGAGTTTAAGGAGGAGAACGTGTGCATCTTCTTCGGTATGTGGCAGGAAGCTTTAGGCACAGATTTATGATCTAGCCTGCCTCTCTCCTGCGTGATGATGGTGTACTGGCTGGCATGAAAGGCATGGCCAGCGTAGAGCTCTGGACAGGGCAGTTGTCTTGGTCTGAAGAGGTTTTGTCACCTCATAGGTGAAACAAATCACCTTCCTCATCTTGGAAGCAAAACCGTGGTTTATGAGGTGGAACAAACAAAACAGGGCTATTTTTCCCCTGCTGTGGGGAAAAGAGGACTCCAGAGAGGCCTGTCCTACCCGCTCCCTCCTTGGGGTCTTGGGAAAAGCTGCAGGGAGCAATCAGCCAGAGGCTGCAGGGGTGGGAGCAGCTGCAGGAGCAGGCACCCAGGGGCTGCTGGTGTGCAGATGCCTCCCTGCAGTTTGACCAGACTTTTTCTTCAGCACATTAACTGTTTGGCTCTCTGTTCCCTCTCTTATGGTGCTTTACCTCCTTATTTTCTTTTCTTCTTCCATCTTTCACTTAAGTGTCCCAATTCCTTCCAGGTTTTAGGGTTTTTTTCCACAGTTTTCCACCCTGCCTCCCACAGAAAAATCATTGAATTAACAATTGTCTCAAAAAGAAAAAATTGCTCTGTTTCCTTCATTTTCCATCTCCTCCCTGTCTTCTCTGGTTTAACTCCAGGCTTTTCTGAATAAATTGTCTGTAACTCTGAGTTTGTACTTTATCTAGCACTCGGGAGTTCTTTTGTAGATTGGCTCTTGGGAAACTGTAGCAAAACCAATTATTGCTAAATAACAACATGGATCACTTCTGCATAACTTCTACCTAAGTAGAAGGCCCCTTAAAGCCAAGTCTTTATTCGAGTAGGTATCTATGGCTTTTCTTTCAGTAAATTCCCCCCAAGTTTTCATGTAGTGGATTAAAAGTGCTTCATAAATGCTGTCCATCCCTGTATTTCATAATGTAGGCCTGTATTCCTGTTTGGATCTGTCAGAGGGCTCTGCAAGATCACAAAAAACACTGTGGTCAGATCTGGGGACTCCTGTCTGGCCTTCCAAGTTACCTGTGGTTGTCTGGATCGGTTCTTGAGTTGTTTACTGCTGTTATTGGAATCTGTGTTATAAATGTGAAGTAATGTGACATCCTAGGTGGCTAGGTTTTGTGGAGTTGGCTATAAAATTCGGTTAAGTAATATCAGTAAAATTTCAATAAATTCATCTAATCTATTATTTAACAATTATTTATTTAACAATTCTTGAATTCTTAAAGGTTCAAGAGCCTTTAACAAAGTGTCAGGGTATGCTTGGTGTGAAAACTTTATGTGCAGTTTCCCAGAAGAAAGATTCCTCATAATCCTCCTCAGGAATTTTTTCACAAAGAACAGCTTTGCCAAATTTCCCTTATATATTCCTGTAGTTTTTAAAGAAAAGTCCACTAGTCCCAGATCCTTCTCCCACATTTCTACTGTTGACTCTGTTATCACACTAAATATACATCTGGATGATCTGGTGCTCACTAGAATGTGCCGGTATCGGAATCCACATGTATTTTGTGTTAATCTGCTCCTGGGGAGCTAAATAACTGAAGCTTTCTGATTCCTGGGCACCGTTCTTCTATAGCATTTAAAAACAGATCACATCTACATCTGTGTCATTATGGCTTTGTGTCATGGACTCGCTCCAGATAACATCTGTTACAGTGTTGACACACAATGCATATTTTACAAGCTGTTTAAAAACATATTTACTCAGCGGACTAAAATTGTTTATCAGCACATATTCAGTCCCAGGAGAATGTCTATTTTCTGTTCAAATTGAGGAGGGGAAAAAGAGCAAGTTGGACAGTCCAGTGAAAGCACTGTCAAAATCAGACTCCAGTCTACAGACCTACCCCTGAAAGGTTCAAGAGTGAAAGTTGTGTGTCAGATGTGATCCACTGTCACAGCGAGTTTTATCTTGGTAAAATAGCATCTTAGGTTTCAGCAAATACATGTCAAACATGTTTTTCCAACAGAGTGAACTGAAGATGAGACAGGAAGCCTGTACATAGCAACTAATCTTCTGTCATCCTGAAACGTGTCCCCTCTTACTGACTTCAGTAGATCATACGTGTTTTGGTATTGGTACAGCTTTAGCTCTGCTGTAAGGCTGTGGAAGCAAGGATAAAGGCAAAGTTGGGTCAGGCAACAAATTTATTTTGGGAAGAAGTAAATAGTCACGCTTCTGTGCGTGTCTCTGATACTTACCTGTGAATGCTGTCAAGTTTGTCAGGCAGGACTGAGGAGGATGTGTGCTCTTGTTTGGGTCTTTCCTTGTCTCTGCAGCTTATGCCTGAGCTTATACTTTCCTCAGAAGAAAACACCAGAGAAAAGTTTCTTAAATGATAAATGTGAAAAGGAATTGCATTTTTAGGTCCTTTATTCCCTTTTATCCCCTCCAGAAAGACGACCTGGCTATTCATTCATCTCCAGTACCTGTGTTGCAAAAAGTCTTCCCTGTCTGTGAAATACGTATTTGGTGAAAACGAAATGTTCCTGTCATCACCAGGACACTGTTGAAATTGGCACACCTGCAATTTGACCTACTTTTTTTTACCTTTGCATCTGTTTAAGTAAATTCTGTGTGATTAAACTCAGTGCCTCTTACGCCATCAAAACCCTAAAACTGTTGATTTCATACTGGAGCTCAGTGCCATAACTTTATGGGAAAAATACTGCTATTTTTTGCAGCAGCAGCACTGGGTATTGGAAAACTGGACGTGAGCGGTACTTGTTTGGGTTTTAGTACTTGGTTATACTTCTGACCTATTGTAATCTCACTAAAGCTGAGCATCATATGCAAGTAGCAGAAGAAAAACATGAGAAGCAGATCCCAGTTCCAGCTTTTAAAGGGTTGTTAGTGAGAGCATCTGTGGTCTTAAAATAATGATGAGTTTACTTATGGGTTGCTGTTGTCTGTTTACTGTTAACTCCTCCCCGAACTCTGACTTCATAAATGGAAGGAACTGATTCACATTCATCCACTCGCAAATACCCTCTGGGATACTTACATCGAGAAAAGTTTTCTTCCATTTGAAGTGGGTGATACCTTAAATACCTTAAATAAACTCAAGGCTCTACAGGCAAACATCTCTAGGGAGTTATGAATGATGACATGCATTGTGCTGCTTTTGTCCCCCATAGGTGTGGAAGAGCACCCCCTTGACAACTCTCCTGTTCTGGATGACAGATCGGCACTTTACTCTGGAGTTCACAAGAAGCAATTCTACTTCGACAGCTCCTGCGAAAAGCAGGCAGAGGACGACTCGGACTCACTCACTACTTCTCCCTCATCCAGCAGTCTCGATACGTGGGGAGCTAACCGGAAGCTGGTGAAGACCTTCAGCAAAACTGATAGCCGTGGCCTTATCAAGCCTCCCAAGAAACTGGGGACATTTTTCTCTTACCCAGAAGAGGAGAAGACCCAGAAAGTTTGCCGCTCCTTGACAGATGGGGAAATGAAGAAGAGCCTCGGCTCGCTGAGCCATGGGGTAAGTACAGAAAGCATTTGCTTTTATGACAGCAACAGGCACAAGCACCATCTTCTGGTGTCCCTGGAGGAGATTCAGAGTGTAAGGAAGCAGATCCGATTGAAGAAAATGGATACTAACTATTCCTGTTCCAGAGCTTTTCTTTGCCAGCGCCCTGCTAGGAAAGGAGCATCTCCCGCAACTTGTGACCTACAGTTACTGCGGCACAAAACGAAAGGGGGTGGAGGTTGTGGCTTCCCAAACAGAAGGCTACGAGGGCGCACTTCTGTCAGCGAGTTCAATATCACCTATGTGGTGGAGAGAAGCCTGTACAGTCACCTCAACCTCTCACAGCTGGTGCGTCCCGTTACTGACAGGACCCTGAGCAAGGCCGACAAGCAGGACCTGAGGAGATGCCTGCTGGAGGAGGATGAGGAGGCCAAGAGGAAGTGGGCTGCCACAGTGGATCGCTGTACTAAAAGGGTTCTCTTGAGAATCCACCAAAAGTCTGTGAGTCAAAGAGATGCCATGAAGGTGGTCTTCCAGTTTCTGTGAGGTTGCAGTCAACACTTTCTGCTTTATGCTTTTAACTAAAATTTAGTGCTTCTGCTGTCCTTGCTGTTAGAAACTCTTGAGCATTGTCATTCAGCTGTAAGGGAAGAGTTTGCTGTAATCCCGTCAGAGAAGAGTTTCATTGAGCCTGCATTTCATATGTGTACAGAACAACTCAATAAAGGACAGCAAATACAACAAAATGTTGCTTTTTTAGTTCACCTAGTGCATAAATTGAGATCACTAGTGAATAGAGGAGCTTTGAGATGCTATAAACATGTTCTTTGTGATGCCTTGGGAGTCAATATTCCCTTAAAGGGATATCGAGAGATGAACAAAATTTTCAGAGGAACAGTGCGTCCTTAGTCAACTGTGCTCTGTTTCTCTCCAGCTTCATATCGGCCCTCCCCTTCTCAGTTCACATCTCATCAGTTCACCCACCCAGCTCCTTGTTCTGTTACACACAGAGCTGTAGAAGCAGGGAGTTCTACATTACATGGACACAGCCCTCCTGCTTGCTGCTCACCACCACCACAAGTGCCCCTTCTGCTCCATCTCTGGCCACTGCTCCTTCTTTTCTAGCATGGGGTGAAGGTGGCACCTTCCCTCAGGGTGTTGTGGAAAGGCAGCAGGGGGTGGCCAGAAAAGGAAATTGTGCTGGACAATGGGAAGTTAAGTGATTTGAGCACTCCAGAGAGATCCAAAGCTGCTTCCTGATTATGTGAGCCAGTTTTGACAGTTGCCTTAACCATGACACTGAGTTTCCTTAGGAACTTGCCGTTGGGGCCAGCCAGATCTCCAGAGCTGAGCCAGCGAGTCTGTTGTCTAGTTGACAGTGTAGATGTGTTCCCTACTTAGCGAGGAACACCCCATAACATTAAGCAAGATATTCCAGTGGACAATACAGTAGAAACAGCTTTTCCTCTTGAACTACAGATTTTATTTTGGAAGGTCTTGGCTTCATTTCTTCAGGAGTGGGGTATTCTTAATGTTAGAGTGACAGCCTTGAATAACCCGTGGGAGGTGACCACGTCTTCATGTTTCACTTTTTGCTCTTTGGCCACAAAACATATAGCTTCTTTGTACCCAGTACCACAAGTGTCCTCTCTTGGCAGGTTTACTATTTCTTTTGCATTGACTGCTTGCTCTGCCACTCGCAGGGTACTGTGTAGTTTCACAGACACTGTACTCCCATAAGGCTATTACAGTGATAAGAGAAACCTTACTGATCCTTCCGTGGGTTGAACAATAGGGGTACCTCAGGCAAAATCTCATACTCATGTGTGCTAGAGGTGCCCCATAACTGAAAATGCCTTCTAAAACTGTCTTTGTAAATACGGATGACAGAAACAAGCTTTTCGGTTCTTCTGATAAGTAGTCTTGCTATTTCGTGATTTCATTATGAAAGCCATCTGGGCTGACTTTTGCTAATTCACAGAGATACAAATGGAGAAGAAACGGATAGCGCTGTGTTGTTGTTGTTGAGGAACTCAGTCAACTGCTACTCCATCCTTGTTTGAATGGGATAAGTGATAGAGACGTGCTGCTCTTACTATAGCTTTTTCAACACACTTCTTCCCTGAAACCGCAAAAAACTGTCAGACTTCAACTGATGTCACTCCTTCTGCCTAGAAACAATGTTTGTTTGCTGCAACCTCAGGGAAATTGCAATGCCTATGTATTCAGTGGAATTGGTCACTCTGTCTTGCCTTGTCATTAATTTTTGTCATTTATATTTGTTTCAGTGACCTGGACATGCATGAAATTTTCAAATCGCATCATTTTTTCTTTTCTCCCAAAACGATAATGCTTTTGATTGCATGGCCATTCCATTGAATATCCCTCTCCTCATCCACAGACCTTTTGTTTGGTACAGTATTGCCAGGGTTGCTACTGGAATCTGAAGGTGGAAGTTAAATGTTAAATATATGGAGAGGTCCATAATGAAGCAATAAGCATCCTTAATGTGATACTTCTATTCAGAAGCTTTTAAGCTCTCTGAGAAGATTGTGTTGGAGGGAGTTCTGGCTGGTTCGACAGACGAAGTTTGCTCAGAGCAGTTCCAGATGTCCTCTCTTCGTGGCTGGGATTATCATACACTGTAGGATTAGTTAGAATGGACTCTTCAGAGGATGATATTACTCATAGCTAAATGTGCTGTGCTTTAAAAACTGATCTTATTACTTGTGGTTGGTCTCAAATGCTTTTCAAAAACAATTTTTAAAAGCCGTGCCATAGTCACATCGCCTTCTGGAAAAACACACTTTAAAAATACTACATCACAGCACTGTTCTTAATGTGTGTGGGGCCTAGTCAAAGCTGGCTTTGAGTTTTAGTGGAGTTGTGGTGAGTACAAAAACTGTCATCCAAGCACTGCAAGTACACAGCACCCAGCATGAGAACTAGAAAACTTTTTCAAAGCTGTTAATATGTATGCTGTAGTGAATATGTAGTAATAATATGTAGTGAACAAGGCAGGAAGAATGTTTATTTTAATAGGACTAATTGATATAATTGTTTATTAAGTGGCACAGTTTATAGACCTTGATTCTTTCTAATAAGAGCGCTGAAACAGACGGGTAGTTCTCAGGTGGTGGGTCTTCGCTGATTCCCCAGTGCACGCTCGCAGTACGGATTGGGCAGTCCTTTGTAGGTCTGGTCTGATGCTTAGCTGAGTCTTAAGGTGTCTTAAGACTCCTTAAGAACTACCCTACTCTGTTGGGTAGTTCAGGCTCTGAGAGCTTAAGAGTTTATAAGTGGTTGGTCTTCTGCCTCCTCTTTGTCTCCACTCCATCTCTGAAGAGAGTACTTAAAATAGACACTTGACTGTCTCACAATCTGCACTCAGAGCCCAGAGTTGAAGTTGTGCGAGTAAATTTTAAGTGCCATCCCTTCATTTCCCTGGATTGCCCTGTGAGACTTCCGGCGAGGCCAGGTGCTCGAGTACTGTGCAGCTGGTTGTTCAGTGGCCAAATAAAAAGTCACAGGTTTTAACTTTCGGATCGCAGAGCAAAAGGCGTATCGTTTTTAAGTGATACCCAAGCTTTAGCAGAGATTCATCTGCCGCTGTCAAACAGTGGCTGGCTGTGGAAGTGCAACGGTACTGACTGTGGTTGCCCTCCGCTCTTGGGAGGGAAGCAGTGTCATGGTGCTGACTTTCTTTATTTATTCAGGATGATTATGATAAACTGCATCTGTACATTCAGCCAAAAGACAGTCACTCCGGTGGGGGACTGGGGCACTGTAAACACAGCATGCTTTCTCCCACAAGTAGCACAGCTGCCACGTGTAGCCTCAGGTGTGATGGTCAACACCTAAGCTGGAATGAGGGCTTGTGGGGACATAATGCCTATGGATAGCTGGGCTGGTTTTTCCCTCCCCTTACCAAGGGCTTGCCCTACAAGGCCTCTAGCATCTCCTTGTATTTCAGTGGAAACGGGGTGTATGCAGCTATTCCCAGAGGGTAGGTTGTTCAGTGCTTTAAAAGCTTGGTGGTTCTCTGTTTCAGTGCTACTGCGGACTTACTTATGAAGGCAGACGGGAGTGCTGAGGTAGAGTTGCCAGCACCCTGGAAAACTTGATGCATAAGATCAACAGTTTCCTCAGACCAAAAAGTCTTTTTTCTTTTTAAAAAGAAGAGTAGTTAATAGATGACTCAACAGCAGCAGACCTTAAGCCAAGGAGTTGTCTCTGGAAAAGATGAATGACTCAAACTGCTTTATGACAGATTTCTTGATTTATAGTACTTCATCCTTTTGTTTGTTTGTTTGTTTTCATTATTGCAGACATTTGTGTTTTCACTGGTGTTTTCCAAATCACAGATGTTTTGAGTGAGCTAATCACTGACAGAACCATATCCATACTTTTTGGGTTTTTTTTCAGAGAACCTGTAGCTTTGGAGGATTTGACTTGACAAATCGTTCCCTTCATATTGGAAACAGCTCTGACCAAATGGTGAGTTTAAGGCACAGACTTGAAATAGCATAAAACGAAATGTGCAATGGAGTTATAATAGACTGAAGTGTAATTTAGGTCTGTAATAACAGTTTGGGGATCCAAGAAAGCAGAGTATCTTTGTTAACCTCAAACTTCCTTAGCTTTGAGAATAACATACCCACCCATATCCGTGTGTGTATAAGTATTTATATACCATATGTGTAAAGAGGCAGGAACAAGTAATCAAAGCACAGATCTGGGGGCACATCTGTGGGCTGTTCTTACCTCTGACTTCCTCAGAGCATCACCCCAGGAGAAACATACGATCACTATACTTTCGTGGTAAAAATATTTACCGTTTGGAATGATGAGGCAAACTTTCAGTCACTGAAGATTGCAAGTTATTTGGGTGGAAGTCATTATGTAAGAGATTTATTATTTGTTTTCTCATGGTATCTAAGAGCTCTGGAGTAGACCAGGATCCCATTGTGCTGGGTGCTGCGCAGTTGATCTCAGAACTCCTTGTGTTTTTTAAAAAAAAAAACCCAACACCTCCCCCGAGAATTAATTCCATTTTATGTTACTAATGTTGAGCCCAGTGTCACTGTTGGTCAGCCTGAGGCCAAACAGAACAGAACAGAAACGAGCCAGAACATTATATCAAATTAAATTGCCGGCATATTTTTTTCTTTTGCCTATATATGTTTTTCTTTTCTGTTTCAACATTGGCTCTGATAACTGCTCCGTTCACTTAAGTCTAAATTGCAAAACATTTTATATGCCAGCATTATATTATTATGTCAGCTGTTTTTTGGGGGATTGTTTTAGTTATTCTGGGTTTTTTTTAATGTCATAAATTACCCCTAAATTGGCCGAAACTGTGGATCATTATTTTATTCATCAATTTGTGATTCTGTGATTCTGTAATTTTCAACTCAGTAAAAAAGTTAAATTCCAAACTTAGAATCACAGAATGGTTTGGGATGGAAGGGACCTTAAGGACCATCTAGTTCCAACCCCCCTGCCATGGGCAGGGACACCTTCCACTAGACCAGGTGGCTCAAAGCCTCGTCCAGCCTGGCCTTGAAGATGGAGTGTTTATCTTAGTGTTTCTCTGTAAGCATAGATGCTTTGGCATATTTTCTTCAGTTTGGTTTTGGTATATATGAAGTATAGACATTGCACTGTGCCCTACTACCGTCGGTAGTGGGAGAGATGCAGTGCACCACAATAATGTATGCAGATCAAGGATTTTTCTTGAAAACACTTCATTAAGTGGAAGCTTTTTTCCAAAAAGTTAAGGCAAAGAGCTGTTCTCAGTTTCTGCTACAAGACCAGAATTTGCCAGAGAAATTGTAATCCAAACAACTTTTAAGGGAAAAAAAAATACCTAACTGTCAGAAATGAAATATCAGCTGAATTTCAGAGAAACATTTACTCAGTAAAGTAGCAAACATACATAAAGTTAGCCAAGAAGATAAACTTTCATGTGGAATATAATGTACACTAACTGCATGGTTTGTTAAGCATCTAAATTGTTCAATAAGGATTATTGAACCAAGTCAGAGACCAAATTCAGTAGTCAGTCTCTTTGGCCAAACAGATTTTGGTCCTTTCTGCATTGTGAGTTTTGGTGCACCAGGAAGGGTGCTGGTAGCAGCTCTCATAGAGCCGCCTTGCTGTGGTTCCCGACACCATAGGACAAGAGGCCGTGTCTGATGTGCTGCCTGCACAGCCTGAATAAGGGCTGAGTCATGCAAGTAGGTTTGGCAAAATGTCAACTGATCTGTGTCAATTCTTGGTGTGTGCTGTAAGTAAATGCTAGGTATCTTAAGCTGGTTTAGAAAAGGTTAAAATGTGTTCAAAGCAGCTGGCCCGTGTCATCCACTACGTATGGGCCAGCTAATTTAGTTTGGCAGTATCCTGTTGTGTGTCTTCAGAATAGCTGCGCAGGTGTGTAACCTCCTACCCTGCCTGATGGATTTAGTAGCTTTTTTTGGCGTTGTTTTATAAGCAATCCACAGTAAAACCACAGGGACGGTCATCAAGAGGGGTTAACTGCCTGCCTGCCTGAAAATGAAATGTAAATCTGGGTAGCCAAATGCAGGTGTATATATATATATATACACGGAGAGATACATATTTGGCCAGGATCTCAGAGGCACCTTTGCTCCTGTTAAACTGCATGTAGTATTGACCAACACAGTGCGTCAAGTCAGGAGGGCTTAGCCTGGAACCATGGAATTCTCTATCAGTTCAAATACTCACCTGAAACTCTAAGGGATAAAGGCATCCTAACTGAACCTGAGACAATTTTACACAGGACCTGCGGAAAAGGTTGTAAGCCAGGCCTAGGGATAAGGTGAGGTGCAGCGGACTGCGACAGTGGTTTGCACAAGGTCTCAGCAGTGAATTTAGGGCAGTAAACAGAGCACCACGCTGCTGTCCTGTGTCTGCCTGGATACCTCTGCAGTCACTGCTGACTGAGGGGAAAAATGACTCTTGGCTTTTATATGCTTAAACCCTGTTTTATTTTGCAGGGCAAAGAAGGAGACTTCGTTTATAAAGAAGTGATCAAATCACCCTCTGCCTCCCGTATATCTTTGGGCAAAAAGGTGAAATCTGTAAAAGAAACCATGAAGAAGAGGATGTCTAAAAAATATAGCAGCTCTCTGTCTGAGCAGGTACGTAAGGTCTGCGATGGAATCCACTTCGTGGTGTAGATCGAGGTGATAATAAATACTGATTCCCATGCTTCAGGGCATCTCTGAAGAAGTGTCTAACAAGGCTACGTGGCGTGGCTTCTTCCCGTGTTGGGATCAAATCCCTCGCTGTGAAATGGCTTCCCATAGGTGCCAAACCATGAAAATGCATTTTCAGATTCTCATTCGAGTCGCTCATCAGCAGAAGCCCCCGTGGCTGATGACGTTACTGTCTCGCTCTAGATTTCCATTTCTTCGTCTATCATAACTGTTTAGTACGGGAACCGGTCTGTGACTCAGGGTCACGGCAACATACGTGAGCCGCGATTTACACCTTAGTTTAAATTCCCAGCGTCCCTTCGCATAGGCGGCCCCTCTGTGGTGCGACAGAGCCTTGCCCCCTCGGCCCTCGGACCGGGACCGGGAGCGGGCGGGCGGGCTCTGCCCCCTGCTGGCCGGGAGCGGG